GACAATGTGATTAGTGGTGCTGAAGAAAGGAATTTTTTGCTTTTGGGATTAGACCTGGAATGTTTCATATCAAATTAGATATAATTTAAATATGTTGGGACTTGGAGTGAAAATAAAAATGATTTCTTTGATCTTGGAACTTTATTTAATCATTAAGGCTCAGATGACACATTCAATTTTTAAAGTCAATTTATTGTAGCAATTTTTCTTTAATGGGACTTTAAACGAGCGCGAGAAAGAATCAAACATTTTTGGCTGCTCTACCACTAACAATAAAGGCGCGATATTATGTTATTATTAATCCTGACCCGATTGCACTTCTTTAAACTCACACAAATGAAAAATTGTCACAATAAATTGACGCTTAAAATTTAATGTGTCATCTAAGCCTAAACATTACTCTTTAAATTGCTGGTTTATCTATAAATAATTTAAATTTATTAAAAATTTTTACAAAATACATTTTAATTTTTATTTCATAATTTCTTAGATGTTCTTGTAAATTGTGTAACTAATTATTGATTAGCATAAAGTCAAGACTTTACATTCATCATTCTCCATTTTCTTTTTTATTGGTTTTCAATTTCGGACCCTTTAATTTCCTTCCAATTTTCCTAATGGCTCTGCCTCATCCGATCGCATATCGACGGATAGCGTTGATATTTGATGTCCCGACACTATGACTTTCCCCACCGAAATCGGCTTCTCATCCTCCGACTCAAAGGTGCCACAATCGAAGAGCACCAGATTCTCGTCGTGATCGGTGCAGCTGAAGATGCCGATCAGCACGAGCTTATTCTGCAGTACCACCCTGATTTTTCGACCCAGCCACTTCTTAAGCGATTCGCGACCCGGAGAAAGGGCAATCCCATCGCTCTCGCTGTTGGTGACAATGATTGGCCTGAACTTGGAGGCACCGCCTGGAGAATCGGCCTCTTCCTTCTCCATCAAGCTGATCGAATGATGAACTTATTAATTTGGCCGGTATGAAATAGTTAAACAGATGACTCCTGGCCTGCTGTATGCTAATTCAACCCCACAGAACCACCGAGGAATCCCTTCTCTGTGAGTGGATGTCGCATCGCGTATCTGAGCGCAGATCTCCCGAGGGCCCCAAGGGCTGCTGCACAATGCACAAAGCGCAAGAAAAAGTGTCGCCATCCGTTTTCGGACTTGTAAAAGTCGACCGATCCCCAATCCCCAGCAACACGAATGCCTATATAGTATATGCCCCATACACATGCTGTCCGCGTCCGTCCTTTGATGGCCAAAACGAACTGAAAGGCGGCACAAGTCCGCAGTCGTCTGCGCAACAGTTCAAAGTTTTGAGGGCCCGCTGCCACTGCCACTGCCAATCGGTATCTGGTAGCCAGGGAAACCGACCAGAACCGAAACCAAGCCAAGTCGGCACAAAGCCTCGCCAGCTCTCCAGTTCTCCTGGTCCAGCTCCTCAGCTCTCGAGCTGTCCACAACCACGACGACGACAACCAGATCTCTGATCTCTCGAAAAAGCTGCAAGTTTTTGCTGCCGTCCGACTGTTTTGCCTACACTTCGAGGCCATCAGCAGCGTCTGGGGAACAAAAAGCGTTCGGCACAGATCAAATTGGAATTACATTGCTGACTGGTCCCGATATCGAGAAAGGGTAACGTGGCATTTCGATGTTATAGGTTATGGGATTCAGAAGATCTCAAGAACTGGTAGTTAAATATTTTCAATCAATTACATAAGGTTACATTTTATATAATGAAACTACCATTGTCTTCCAAAAAAGACTTCATAAGATTTTTAAAATATATTCAGAGAGGAAGTAAATACGGGCACAAAATACAAATATCCACTTATCAAAATATTATAAGTGGATATTAAATAATATGTTTATCTTATTTAATAATATTTGTTTGAAAATTACTCCATTTGGTATTTTAAAACAGTATCTTTCTAACTTTTATGAAATAATAAAATATCAAGTTGATATGTTTGGATCATAAATTTGACATTAATGATATCGGCTTATTATTGATATGAAATTACCCTAATTCATTTAAATTTTTTTCTGTATAACAATATTATATTTATTTTAGTAATTATATAAAGTTTAATAATACTAAAGAAGTAAGAAAGAAGTTGGCGAATGAATAAATAAATAACGATGTTATATGAAGATATATTACATCTATCGTATCGAAAGAGTATCCCCAATTTCAGTCCCGATCTTTACCTTCATTTCTGGCCGAGGCAACAACAGCTCCCGACATTGGCGATCGATCGCATTTGATATATTTGCTCCTCGAGCTCTGCGACTGTTTGCCAACTGCAGTTTTGGATGTGGTGGCAATGGCGTCGTCCTCTCAGCCTCCTCTTCTACCCCTTTGCCTTCTGGCCACTCTTTGTTGTCCATCCGCTGGCGATTGTTGTTGCTGGCACGGCATAAGCCGGAGATGTTGCTGGTAGCCGCTGCAACTGCAACACAGCAACAGTTGCAGCACAGCAATTGCCGCTGCCTCGGTGCTACACCTTCGCAAAAGTCGACAGAGGTTGGAGGATTGCTCCCCGATCTCCTCGAAGTGTTTATGTCGTTTATGTGAAATATCAGCTGCTCATGTCGAGAATGTTTTTGCTGCCTTGTTGCTTCTGCCACTTTTTGTGGCTGCCCCGCGTTGGTGTTGCTGCTTTTGGCTCAGCAGCGTTTTGTTTATGGCATTGGCGGCCATTGGTCAGCGATTGGCTGCCGCTTGAGTTTCAAATCTTTACACTCCGATCGCCGAGCGGCCATAAAGTAAATTATAGCAACAACGGCGGCATCGTTGGCGGAGAATTATGTTTTGGGGTTGGGGGCGGAGAATCTAACAATTTTCTATGCATACATTTGCACTACATTCCTCGCTTTTGCACTCAATAAAACTTTAAATATATACGAATGGCAAAGAGTAGACTTTCCACATAACAGTTGATTGAGTGTTGACTTGGCCTGATTCGGGGGTCTATTTGCATATCTGCATTTTTAATTGGATTGATTATTCCTAGTGGGAAGAATGTTGAAAGATTTGAAAGTTATAACAATGTTTAAAGCGATTAAGAACTAATCCCATTTTTATTTTAAGAAATTAGTTTAAGAATCATTGAAATTGTAATTTTCATGTCCTAATTTACTTATGACTTGTTCCCACCCACGCTGTTTGACCTACCACGCGAAAATAATCTCTTTCGTTTACCTGGTAAAGTCGCCTCAAATTGCGGTAAACAAAACGCCTTCTTTCAGCACAACGGCCATGGGAAAAATCGCAGATTAATTACGCACACGACAGACATGCAGAAAAGTCGCACTGGGACTCAGCCAAACTATTTTAGCTACCTGCCGTAACTTTCTCCAGGCCAAATTGCCGGATCGTATCGCCTTCTGCCCGAAGCGAGGTAATCCGCACTAATCCATCAGAAAGGAGCCATCGCAATGTTGGCAAAAGCGATTTCCCGGCAACTGCATCAATGTCAAAACATTTCCCCGCCGATTCCCCGCCGAGGAACGTGTGTTGGCATAACAGTTGCACATTTGCATCCCGTATCCGATGGACAACAATGAGGCAAAGTCAGGGCACCGATCTGATTTATGGGCTGCAGAATTTCACTTTCGATGCAGTTGCAGTTCATCACTAGGGATTGGGTTGACTACGGGCTCCGGGCTTCCAGGTTCTGTTCTAAGGCTCGTTCCTTTGTGATCCATTCGACTGTTTTCAGGGTTAGTCTTTCCGCTTTCCCTCGTAAATCACTCAAGCACTAAGTCTCCTGCTTGACGTCTCCCGTCAAGACAATGAAATGGTCGCAATTTTGTCAGTCTGAAGCGCTACCGAAGTGAAAGTGAGCTCGACTAACCCGTGACGAATTTCGGGAAAATCTATTGTTGGTTTACTGGCGTAATTAGAATTGTTTTGGGTCTATTCTTGGCGAGTTTGCGTGGAAAGGCTGAGAATTGTATACTGCTAAGCGAAGGCAAATAACATTTGGAAAAATACAATCAAAATGAATCCGGAACTCGTTTAAAGAACCAAATAAATATGTTTTAAATGGCAATAAAATTAAAAAAAAAATGTATTTATGCCTTTATTTATATGAGTTCTTATAAAATTGTTTTTATTTTTACGGAAACAAAATTGTTTTATCACTCATAGAAATTTTCCGGTAAAATCGCCCTAAAAACAAGGAAAATCGCCCTAAAACGGGGGTCAATGGCGACTAGGCAACAAAATTAGGGCAAATTGCCCTAAAAATACGGGAGAATTTGTCATACATTTAGGGCGATTTTTGGTAGATCTAGGGCGATTTTTCTATTTTCAAAGGTAATTGCTCTAAAAATAAGAAATGAGACCCTTAAACTAATGGCAGTTTCCTTTAAATCCAGGGCGATTTTTTTGGACTTATAGGCGAATTGCCCTGGAAATCGGAAAAAATACCTTAAAACTAAAGCCAATTTTTTATAAATCTAGGGTGTTTTTCTGGATTTTAAGGCGAATTGCCCTAGAAATAAGGAAAAATATCCTAAAACTAAAGGCAGATTTTCATAAATCTAGGGCATTTTCTCTGGATTTATAGGTGAATTGCCCTAAAACATGCAAAATGCTCCTTAAAATTTCACGGCCATTTTTCATAAATAAAAATACAATTTCAATATATTTTTTTTTTGTTTTTATATTTTTGTTTGTTGTTATTTACATTAACTACAAATATATTTACACAATTTATAGTTATACAAATTTACATACTCTCCTATTCTTATTCCTAAATGGATTATATCGGGCTTAAAAATAATAAATAATAAATAACTTTAAAAGAAACGGCTTCCCGAGTCCGCAATGGTGTGCTTCGCGTTCTTGCTCCCGGCGTCCTTTTTTGTTCTTGCTGTCGGCACCAACACTGAATGGATCGCAAGCCAATTTAAAGTTGATTGTATCCCTATTAAATGAAAACAGTTTAATTATTATATGATAATAGAAAAAAAGAGAAGCACTTACCTTCAGAGCTTTCCAAAAATTTGAGCAGGTTTATTTCCTGTTGCTTCCTTACTCCTGCTTTTAATAAGTCCGAAAAGTGGTTTGCGAAAGCTGGATCTGAAAAGCGTTCTCGATCTAAAAAAAAAAAAAAGAAAAATTTTTTAGAAATTAATATAAAAATGCACAACCAACACACACAATTTTCATTTAGCCTGCGATTGCGTTTGCTGCTACTCCTAGAAAAAAAAGAAGCAGCAAAAGCAAATTTCGAGCACTGACGAAATGTCGCAATAGAAATTTGGGGGTTGTTTTGGCATATGCACTTGTGAATGCGGTTTGTCCGGTGCATAAATACAGATTTCTTGTAAATATATACATATATGTATGTGTGTATTCTGTTGCATCATCTTTTTAACTCAAGCATTATTTACATATACACATACATATATGTATACTCTTATTAATGATCTTACTTTGTTCTGCCACACTTCCAAAACTTCCGCTTCTGGACCGACTAGTTGAACAGGAATTTCTCCTCGTAGCTGCTTCCACTCAAATTTTTTAAAGTTTCAGCTGCATTTTCCTCTGTTACAGATATGTAAATTCAATTAGTTATTAATATCCAAATTGCACAATTATATATGTATGTACTCACCAGAAAACAGAGAAAGAATCGCCTCCCAAGTCCTTTAATAGCGTTTACATTTTTCACTTCTTCACTAACAAAAGGTTTCACAAACACGTCTTTCGCCGCCAAGCGCCCGAAAAATTATGACAAAAACAATAGACAATGCAACTCTTTCTACTCCCACCCTTGCCACTGCAACGGACGAAAAGTAGCAAAGAAGAAGAAAAAGGGTGGACTTCTCTAAAGTCAAATGCGCTCAGCATCAAAATTCATACAAAAAGGTCCGCCCTAATATACACACACATTCACTTGTTTTGACCTGTCAACCACACACACATACACACATGTATTACATATGTATCCATTAATTGCGTCTTAAAATTTCGTTTGACTCTTCCTTGTTTTTAGGGCATTGTCAGAACATTTTTTTTGCTATTTTGTTCAACGTTTTAGGGCGATTTCGCCCTAAAAAAAAAGGAATAACTTTTGGAGTCGACTCATAAAAATTCGCCCTAAAAAACAGGACAAATTTGCCTTTTTGAAAAAACTAACCCTAAAAAATATTTTCCATGGCGATTTTTCGTATATTTAGGGCTAGCCACCCGTATAATAAGAAAATTTTCCGTAGTTTTAGGGCGACCTCGGTTTTAGGGCGACTTTTCTAGTATTTAGGTAAAAATTTCTATGAGTGTACTATATAAAAATTTGATAAATACATTTTATTTTATATATTGTAACACGTACGGCTCTAATTAAAACAGTGTTTCCATCGAACGAATAATAATTATAAATTTCCTGGAATAAGCGCCTAAGCAACAACATGTTCAATAAATCGGTGATACATACTAAACTAAAAACATTTTCCATGCATTTTCCGCTTCACCTTGCACCTGTTGTTGTTTTTGTTTCTGGTTGCTGTTTGTTTTGGATTTTGCTTTATGTCTTAAATATTTTTGACAAACAATCGCCGGCGGTTAATTTTAATTGGATTCTGACAAAACACCGACAACAAAAACAGCAGTCGTCGTCTGCAAACTGAGCAAAATCAACAAAAATGGAAATCCTTTTAATAAAATTAAACATCAAACATGGCGTGGAATTTTTTGTCGTATTACGCTGACAGGCGCAGGATTTAAATTAAAAACACGCCAAGTCCACAACAACAGGCGAGCAGCGAAGATCAAAAGGCATCAAAAATTGTTATATGCCAAGAGGCAGAGGTAAATCCCCTCTCTATCCGGCCCACCGAAACCATTTACCCACAACAACAGCAAGACGGAAAAAACCCCACCGAAAAACTTTTGCCAGCGTCGACGGCGGCGAAACGGAAACGGAAATCGACGAGCAAAAGGTTGCAGGTGTCATGTGACAAGGTCGGGAGGCTGTGGGGGTGGTGCTGATGGTCTTGCCACGCGCACAAGTTCGCGCAGGCTATTGGGGGTGGGGTTTTTGGGGTCAACTAAGGGGGTTTGCTGCCAATTGATTAAGCGTGCGTTAAAAACGCAAACGCAGCTTGGCATAAGAAGAGCAAAAAAATCAAATCAAAGTGTTGAAGCGGTTAAGATGGGGCGTTGGGCCGGAATGGGTTAAGGGTTGCTCGGCGACCTGCAGGTGAACGGGGTTAATTTGTTGCGTCTCCGGGCATATGGCGGCCTCCCTCCTTCCTGCTCCCTTCTTCCCGGGAATTAGTCCCCAAGGCTTAGAACAGAAATCATTAAAAAAGTTCAACGAGTTGTCTGGCCTTAAATTAAGGACAAAGAAAGCGCACGAGAGAGAAAGAGAAAACGCAAAAACAATTGAGTCGAAACGCCAGAGGCAACTGCAGGTGGGGTTTCTACTAGGTGGCATGAGTTGAGGGCCCCACGTTGGGCGCCATTTAAGTGACAGCGTTGCCATAATTTTAAATCGCGAGCTTTTCGAGTATCGGAGCCACGGACGAAACCGAAGAAAGAACGAAAGAATGAAGGTATTGGTAACCGTCAGTCAGTGTAGGCTTTTGTTTGTGTGGGTGGCCTTTTTGGGGGTGGTGTAGCAGTCTTGGGGGTTGGCATAAGAGAACTATTAAAGTGTTTTATGGTGGCCGAGACAAGGCGAACGTTGCAAAAAGGGCTGGGGGAGAAATAAATGGCAACAGGGCCCGCTCTTGGACGAACGTAGCCAACAAGATTTAGAGGTTTTTCCACGGCATTTCTCTTCTTTTTCGGGGGTTTTCTGTGGCTTTCTTTATCTCTTAGGTGTGCCCGAGACAGACTAAAGACTGATGAGTGGGTGGGCAGATTGCAATTTCTTGCTGCAACTTGAGGATACAAATTTCCACTGCTTATGAAAGCTAAGGGTAACCAGTCTTGATGGCTATAAGATGGTCTACAATGTGGGCGATGGGTGGAGCTGAAAGTGTTAAATAGCATTGGGAATCGACTTTTAATGTTTTGAAAGGTGAAATTAAGCATAGAATAAGGAAACGATTATTAAATAAATAAGACGTAAAATAGCAAAATATTCTGATTTTATAATCTTTGATCTAGTTCAGACACTTTAGTTATTTGGGTAACTTAATAGCGAAAGGATTATTTCAACGTAAAGATAAATAGGCTCCTTTATTGCTCCTGTTATGCTCATCATCAACTAATACATATTTCATTTAATATAGCAATAATTCACCCGACTATCCCCACGGTTGATCTTCTAATGTAACCCGCTAGAAAATTTGGGCTAATTCATTCGCAAGGCTTTCTCCGCCCTGGGTTCATTCATTTTGGAGCAACATTTCCGAAACATTTAACAGGAGAACCTGAACGACTTTGAATTGCAATGCCCAACAAGAATAAAGAATACCCCCGGCAATGCGGCAGGAACGACGAAAGTGTCGCTGCTCATTTAACCCCAAACTCTGTGTGGCTCAGTCTGCGAAAGTAGTCGAGTAACCCAAGCCCAAGCCAGCGAACCGCATTGAAAAGTACCTTCAGCTCAATAATTTAACGGATTTTGGCCAGAGGCAAGGAGTGTCTAATGGGTGGTGGTGCGGTTGGCGGTGGCAGTGGGAGTTGGACCCTCCTCGGCACAATGAGAAAATTTTTGGGAAAACATTAACATTAGCCTAAAATATTGTCCCATAATTTGCCGCGAGCACTGTTGATGGTGACAATGCCGGGTCCAAATTCGTGGCAGTGGATGTGGAGTGGGTTCGGTGGGACGGTGAAATATTTCAGCGCCAGCAAATGAAGCCACTTGCCAGCCGAAGTGGATGCGGATGTGGATGTGGATGTGAGGGTTCGGTGGATGTTTTTGGCGACAATTTTAAAATGCCAAACGGCAGCTAGCGGGCGTTTATCAAGCTGAACGACAACATTTGAGCAGCGAAAAACAGGAGCAGCGGCATCAACCCTCGGAGCGTTCAGTGGGCCCATCACTCAAGTCGCAAAATTAGGCAATTAAAAATATGCCGAAGGCGCGCTCAAGCAAATGAATGGTTCCACAGGACTCCGAGGCTGTAGACACACAGCATCGTTTGGCATTAGAGAGATAGCTTACTGGAGATGGGGAGACTGTTTGGCAAGCGAGCTGCTTTGGCATATGAATCATCAGCTCAAGGATCTCGCCTCAATTGCGGCATGTGATGCCCTCACAGGGAGCTGCAAATTGCCAACATTTTGCGGGCTCCACAGTACGTCGGGGTATTTATTTTGAATTTAATCAGAAGAAGTACGTCAGGGAAATGCGGGGCTACTACCACTTCTTTAAATATAATGATCGAGAAACTGAAGTCAATAGATTTTAGTCGGATTTAAAATTTATTTATTTATTTTACTATTGATTTAACAATTATCCCTGGTAAACAAAATTGAAATAAAACAACATTAAATAAATTTTTTTTTATTTATTTTTACTGGTTTTTTAATTTAAGACTAATAGAGATTGTAAAATCTTCTTTCCTATTTTCTTAGCAAATTTCCTTCTGCTAAATCCGAATGAAAGAGCTTTGCAGAAATGATATCTTGGTATTATGATTCAAGTAATACCAAGCTATTTCCACGCCAATCAAAATGAGTTCCTTGTTTCGGGTTGCCTAAATCAAACTTTGTCCTCCACACCATCCAATTTAAGCCAGGGCCTCTCATCTAATATGCAATTTGGTAAGAACAAAGGGCCAAACTTTGATATTGAGGCATTTTTGCCTGAATCAACAAACCTCAAGGAGTCGTCAAGCGACAACGACAACGTCATCTTGCGTTGACTGCCTGCCAGGCCAAAGCGTCAAGTCAACGGAATGGGCCATAGAAACTAATGGGGTTTAGTTTTGGGGGCCGAGAGTTGGAGGCCCAGACCCACACGGCCACACCCAAGACGACCGCCCACCCCCCGGCAATCCTTTTTGTGCTGTCCTAGCCAAGAAGACGATTCTAAATTTTCGGCTGCTCAGTCAGCTCGGGTGTGTTCCGTTCTGTTCTATTCTGTTGGGTTGGTTTGGTTTGCTTTTGCTTTGCTTTGGTCTGCTCGTCAATAAATCGTGGAGTGCCAGTAATGATGCCAGCTTGGCAGAGCTCTGGGCATAGCTCCACTCTGCGATAGCAGCCGTTAATGTCAGACGAGCGAAAATATATGGGGCCGATGTTGGTAGTCCCCCTGCTCGTCCTTCTCCGCCTCCCACTCATTGGCGAATGTCTTTGGGTTTGGCGAAAAAGACTTTTCGTCTTGGCCATGATGACTGCCGCTGATGATAATGATGACGAGCCGGCAGCCGGCAAAGCTCCTCCTTCCGCACCGCAGAGCGACATCCCATCCAGTATTTCACCCTCCTCCACCTCCATCAAAGGCAGGTCCGTCAAGTCAACCAAGCAAAGCAGGCAACCCTTGGGGTCTTGGGCTTCTTGGATTTGTTTTATGCGTCATTCGGCCAAATATTTCCTGCTCCGCCCCTGCCTAGGTCATTATGCCCCCCCTCTCCCCACTGGAATTCGGACTCGGACTCGGCTCGGACTTTCGGACTCATCATTTATACAAGCACTGAGCGAGCCATTCCCGTTGTCAGTTGTAGAAGGATTTACGCTAGCCAAGGCAAGACGTCCTGTCTATCTGTGCGCCTGTGTGTGTGTGTGAGTGAATTATGGCCTCTGCTGATTTCTTTTTCGT